AGTTATCCTTGAATTACGACTATTGTTAGCCAACTAGCTCTAGCTTCCACTGTTTCTATCCTCTTTATATCTATGATACTAAGTCTATGACTTCCTATGTCTTAGTCTCTTGTGTACCAACCCACAAACGTTGTGGTTCAGCATTGAACCTAGTCAAAGTAAGCAGTACCACAACACTTGTGGGTTGGCACACAAGAGACTACGGCATGGGAAGTCATAGACTTGGTATTAGAGATAGAAACAGGATAGACGCGGAGGCGTCTATATATATATATATATATATATATATGTGTGTGTGTGTGTGTGTGTAAAGAGAGAGAGAAAGAGAAAAAGAGCCTGTTTTGCCAGATTTTATACACCTCATGTAACTTGCATATTCTCAAAAATCTGATATATTAGGCGAAAATTTCCCCTATAGAACAACTAGATTACCAAGGCATGACAAACGAGATTAGGATTTATCTAACCAATAACCCACCACTTGTTCATGATCGGATCATAAAAATGAATATCATTCCTGGGATTGGTTGGCCTGCGATCTGCTCCCACCAGCTCAGCGAATCCACCCACCACGTAAAGACGGTCACCGACCCACTGCACACCAGCATGCACGCGCGCCTCTACCTCGCGACGCTGACAACAGTCACCGACCGCGTGATGTGAAAGGAGATGCGGATATGAGTAAACGTGATGTTGGTATTGATAGTGTGGGTGATGGTGATGTGTATGTTCATTAATTTGACCTAATCCCACTGCCGCTGCGTTAGTTGTCGGCCCAGATGAAGTAGTACTGCTCCAGCCCGCACATCCGGTACCGCTGATAGAGCTACCTCCTGAGTGTAGCACGTTGGATGAACACAGAGGGGCGAGGGGACGCAGCGAGTGCTTAGCAAGATCAAGAACCCAAAGTTCACTAGTCTCCTCCAAAAACAAGTATATTAGTTCACCAGGCTGGATAAATGGATAGAAATGAGTGCAAGAAAAAAGCTCGTGAAAGTGTTTTGGGAAGATGGATGGAAGAAAACAGTTTGTGGCTCTAAGATCCCTAAATACAAATTATAGTGCTTAATACCAAGGAAATTCTCTAATCCAAAGCTGTCACTGATTTCATGATAGATTTAGGTAAACTACCGAACTAAGACTTATGTACAAATTGTTTTGAGCATTACGTATTATAAAGCCGGAAGAATAGATTCATACACCAGTTCGACTGCAAGAAGATTATTACATGTTCGCAAATCCGTTTAAACCTAAAACTGATAGTTCTTCAGCAAGAATGATCTCGAATTTGCATTGACAGATTCATAAAAAAAGTAAAATAGAAAGTAATCCTGTTTCTTCAGCTTTTCCCGATAATACTTATAAAATTGTGTGAAACCCATTCATCTAGCAGTGAAAAACACACACAAATCTGTAAAAAAAAAATAGCTGAAATGACTAATAGTTAGACCTTATATGTAATTATTTTTTTTCGAAATTATCAGGAATTCTTGAGAAAGAAGTTGAACCACACCAATTCGCTAAATGTAAGTTTAGCACTGATAGTTGAATTTTCTAACAATTTAATGAACATTCACATTCGTTCTGTGATCTAGTGAAAGCCATGGCTAGGGAGTGGTATAGTGCTGTCACTTTATGCGCATGATTGTTTTGTGGCTCGTTATAGTCGTAGATAAAAGCCTCTTAAGAGA